GACGGACGCCTTTGTCCAGGGCTACGTTCTGGACAAGGGGGCTCCCGAACGCTTGCTGACCGACCAGGGGAAAATTTTTTCAAGTAAATTGCTGCAAGAGGTGTGCGACCTTTTGGGTACTAAGAAGGTGCGTACTTCCCCGTACCACCCACAGACGGACGGGATGGTGGAGAGACTCCACAGGACTTTGACTTCTATGCTGTGCCAGCAGGTGTGCGAGGCTCATGTTGACTGGGACCTGCAGGTCCCGGGGGTCCTCGCCGCGTATAGAATGGCCCCCCATGCAGCAACGGGATTTTCCCCATTCTATCTGATGTATGGTCGGGAAGCCGACCCGCCCATGGAAACGCAGCTGGGACTTTCCGCGCCACGAACGAATTCGAAATTGGCTGAACATATTAAATTTAACATTGATAAGCTGACCGAGGCACGGGAGGCCGCACGCCTTAATTCGAGGTCTCGCCAAATCGCCAACGAGCGGTTGCGTGCACGGAAGGTGTCCGTGCACAACTGGAAACCGGGCGATAGGGCCTGGCTGCACTGCCCTCAGGCACCTTTGGCTACGTCGCCTAAATTGTTGAAGCCGTGGCGGGGACCCGTGGAGGTCGTGCGTGTTGCACGCCCCCAGTGTGTTCAGATAAAATGGGGAAAGCGCCGTTGGTACGTCCACCCCTCCCGGCTGAAACCGTTCTCGCCCCCATATGGCCTCCCTTTGTGTCGTGAGGACCGAGCATGTGACGTGACCGACGACCCGAGGGGGGAAATGTCTCCGCCTGATCCTCACATGTCTCCGCCTGATCCGCTCCCAGGTGTCTCGGAACTGACAGCTGCCGACCACCGGCGGCCGGATCCCCGCGGCGCGGCCGGTCCCTCCAGGCCCGATCCGCGCCTTCCAGGGCTGCCGGAGCCGCCAGACGGTCGTCAGCGTCCTGTCCCATATGATGGACCGGCCAGGCGGACTCGCGCTAAGTCGCGCAACTTTTCATGACCAACCGATTGAGGGACCGATGCGGCCGGAGCGCCTCGTCACTGCGTTCCTCGTCCGCTCGACCGCTCTATCACCCCGGTGGAGGAGCGAGCGGAGGGGGGGGATCGATAGTTACAGAGACACTGGACACGTTTTTTCTTGGACTTGCTTTTATTGTGTTGTTCGTCAGTTTGTACATAGCTTGTTGTCTAGGTGTTGTGTTGTTGTTGACTTTTATTGTGTTGTTTGTCGGTTTGTACATAGGTTGTTGTCTGGTGTTATGTCGTTGTGTTGTTGTTGTTGTGTTACGGGGCACACTGGGGGGTTGGGTTTTTGTTGTGTTACTATTGTTGTTGTGTTGTTTAGCAGCCGGGCCGGCTGCGAGCTATGTGGGAGGGGGTGATGTAGTGGTGATACACGCTGACAGTGGGGATCGTGTGGCAGCACGTGGTGATTGGCTGTGTGCCGGTGACGCGCGCTGACGGTGAGGGATCACAGGGCAGCGCGGGGTCATGGGTTATGTGGTGGTGATTGGCTGTGTGCCGGTGACGCGCGCTGACAGGGAGTGATCGTGTGGCAGCGCGGGGCGATTGGTTGTGTAGTGGTAACACGCGCTGGGAAAACGGATCGTAGGAACAGCGCGTCGTGATTGGTCAACTAAGGGGGGTGCTCACGTCGAGGTCCGCATACGCTCCGTCTCCCGGGAGCGGGGGCTATATAAGGTGGTGCGCACAGGCGCACGGGGAGTTGGTGACCAGCGAAGACTGAAGACGGAGGAGGAAGAGATAGGGCCCTGAGGCACCTAGTCCCGCTGTCCTTGTAAGGACCGGGGCTCTGTGTGACCCAGAGGCGGAACCCTGGGACCCGGGGCCGAACGTCCGTGTGAGGGCCGGCCCGCGGGACCCAGAGGTTGTGGCCCACGCCCAAGCTGGGGTGGGCCTGTAGGCTCCACGGACGTTACGGGGCTGGAGTGCAGTGTGAGCGTGCAGCGTGAGCCTGCAGCGTGAGCCGTAGTAACCACACGTGTCAAGTGGAGTGTGTAGTGTGAGAAGTAGTGACCACACGTGTCAAGTGGAGTGTGTAGTGGAAGAAATAGTGACCACACGTTGTATCGTGACAAGTCAAGGTTTAATAAAAAGTGTGCTACCCGTCAAGTGGTTTCCTGCCGTCATTCCGAATACTTCACCTGTATAAAAGACACCTGTTCACAGAAGCAATAAATCAATCAGATTCCAAACTCTCCACCATGGCCAAGAACAAAGAGCTCTCCAAGGATGTCAGGGACAAGATTGTAGACCTACACAAGGCTGGAATGGGCTACAAGACCATCGCCAAGCAGCTTGGTGAGAAGGTGACAACAGTTGGTGCGATTATTTGCAAATGGAAGAAACACAAAAGAACTGTCAATCTCCCTCGGCCTGGGGCTCCATGCAAGATCTCACCTCGTGGAGTTGCAATGATCATGAGAACGGTGAGGAATCAGCCCCGAACTACACGGGAGGATCTTGTCAATGATCTCAAGGCAGCTGGGACCATAGTCACCAAGAAAACAGTTGGTAACACACTACGCTGTGAAGGACTAAAATCCTGCAGCGCCTGCAAGGTCCCCCTGCTCAAGAAAGCGCATATACATGCCCCTTCTGAAGTTTTCCAATGAACATCTGAATGATTCAGAGGACAACTGGGTGAAAGTGTTGTGGTCAGATGAGACCAAAATGGAGCTCTTTGGCATCAACTCAACTCGCCATGTTTGGAGGAGGAGGAATGCTGCCTATGACCCCAAGAACACCATCCCCACCGTCAAACATGAAGGTGGAAACATTATTCTTTGGGGGTGTTTTTCTGCTAAGGGGACAGGACAACTTCACCGCATCAAAGGGACGATGGACGGGGCCATGTACCGTCAAATCTTGGGTGAGAACCTCCTTCCCTCAGCCAGGGCATTGAAAATGGGTCGTGGATGGGTATTCCAGCATGACAATGACCCAAAACCCACGGCCAAGGCAACAAAGGAGTGGCTCAAGAAGAAGCACATCAAGGTCTTGGAGTGGCATAGCCAGTCTCCAGACCTTAATCCCATAGAAAATATGTGGAGGGAGCTGAAGGTTCGAGTTGCCAAACGTCAGCCTCGAAACCTTAATGACTTGGAGAAGATCTGCAAAGAGGAGTGGGACAAAATCGCTCCTGAGATGTGTGCAAACCTGGTGGCCAACTACAAGAAACGTCTGACCTCTGTGATTGTCAACAAGGGTTTTGCCACCAAGTACTAAGTCATGTTTTGCAGAGGGGTCAAATACTTATTTCCCTCATTAAAATGCAAATCAATTTATAACATTTTTGACGTGCGTTTTTCTGGATTTGTTGTTATTCTGTCCCTCACTGTTCAAATAAACCTACCATTAAAATTATAGACTGATCATTTCTTTTTCAGTGGGCAAACGTACAAAATCAGCAGGGGATCAAATACTTTTTTCCCTCACTGTACATAGCACACTCATACACACAGCCTATACACACATAGCCAAATAAACCCACTCATACACAGCCTAATAAACCCACTCATACAAACAGCCTACATAAACACAGCCTAATAAACCCACTCATACATACAGCCTACAAAGCACACTCATACACAGCCTACATACACAGACTACATACACAGACTACTCACGTATACTCTTAGGTTTTTTCGGTAAAGTCACGTAGGTAAAAAGAAAAAGAAAATAATAATAAATGAAAATAAATAAATTAAATCACGACGTTTCGGAGGCAACACAAGTCTCCGTCATCAGGTGGAACCGTCACAGCTAAATTTACTGTATCAAGTGAGGAAAATTCCAAGAGGCAAGCCCTTAAATACAAGTTAAGGGGGGGGGGAGGGGGGGGAGGGGCTTATCTGAATGTGGTTGCCGGGGAGTGGTGGGGAGTGGCGGGGGTGGCAGGGAGTGGCGGGGGGGGGGTGGCGGGGGGTGGCGGGGAGTGGCGGGGGGTGGTGGGGGGTGGCGGAGCTGAAAGAGAACAATGGTGCACATCGACTCAGGGTTGTGGCCGGTGTTAGCTGATAGTAGGCATAAAAGAAAACAGTACTGATAAACACTGGGGATGTCAACACTCGGTAAAGTAGAATAGTACCTGTCAGATAAGATGGTACAAATATGCGTAGTTAAATCTTTTTTACATGGTTAATAACATCTTTCCAATGATTACTCAGTTTGTACCCATCATCAAAGTTGTAGTTATGTCTGTGTTTGTATATCTGGATGGCTTCGTGTACAAACCTTTGATGGTAGCCAGAAGGTTTGCAGAGTACCATGGTCTCGGAAAAGACAATATCATGAGAGCCCACAGCATTGTAGCAATGATCGGCAACAGCGGAAGACTCAATTTTGCCGTGTTTCAGATCTGACTTGTGCTCGCGGCCATAGCACACTCATGCACATGGCCTACATAAACACAACAACAACACCCGCCATTCGTCACTAAGTGGTGATAACGTCACCATGGAGCTTGTGCCAGGCCAGGTGCACTTTGAGGCCACGTGGAGTGTTGAAGGCTCGCTGACAGGAGGTCACAGGACAGACCCAGGTACCATGGGTTGGCTGACTGAGATGACTGGCAGATGCACCACCTGTGCCCCCTACTGTGCCAACTTGCTGCATTTTAAAAGCTCATTGCTGAGAGCGAAGCTCCTCTGCCCTCCGTTTTAATTGGAGGGCGACTTCCTCCAACTGACCAATAATGTTCTTCACAAACCTCCTCCATAGAGGCCGATCTTGACACTGCGGGTGAACTTTCCAGTCTTCGGCAAGTTCACTCAGCTCCACATCCTTCTGTGCTGTTTCAGTTCATCTCTTTTCCAACCTGTGTCGCACCCGTTTAGCCCCCTCTATCCAGCCAAACAGAAGCTGCTTGGGCATGCGGTAACTGGTCATGCGGGCTACATGACCCAGCCAATGCAGCCTCGCCTGCCAGAAGAGCTCACTGATTGGACTGTGTCCAGATATGGAGTGATGTTACACACACACACACGTACATGCTGTAGTGCATGATGGAGCTGCAGTCGTAGGGCGCTGCCAAATCCTGTTCGTTTGATTTGATGTCCACAATCTGATCACTCCATTCTGTAAACAATAAGACAAGCACGCGGTGTGCAGCATCACCGTTGCTAATGCCACTACCACAGAACAACACCTGTGAACGGTCTTCTAGCATTACTCAGCATCTTGGTTTCACTACCACAGTACAGCACCTGTGAATGTTCCTTCAGCATTACTCGGCATTATTGTAATTGAAAAAACATTTCTACATTCAGAATGCAGGGTGTGTTTATTCCAGATGCGCTTCATTTAACCTGGTTACCAAATCGCCACAATGTGCCCACTCCCATTAGCTCTCAGAAGCTAAGTTAGGCTGAGGTCTGGATAGTGCTTGGGATGTGCGACTACCACACATCTAACATGTGCAGTAGGCATGGTGGGCAGCAGAGGGCAGTGCAGCACAATCCGCTGTGGTTCTGTACTCCATTCCCTTCACTAACCCGCCAGGCCAGCGTGGTGAAGTTTGGTGAAATAACCTCCATGGCCAATAGGACACAGGGAGACCCACATCTAGCAGTGGACTGTCTCATGTATAACATCATAGATCCATTATTTATTTATTAACATACTTTATTTAACCATCAGAGTGCATCAGATGAATTATTTCTGCCTGTCCTTTATGTAGCCATGAGAGATCACAGAGACTCGAGACAGCATCTGAGTGGTCTCTATGTAAGGCAGCACCACGATTTGTCATCTCTTGCTGTGTTCTCTCTTTTTAGCCACATGAGTGCCCAATGAGATTCATGTAACTATGAAACTATGATGTATTTAAACTTGTATTATATCATTGTGTTCAATCGTCTATAACTGTGTTTCCATTATTTACCATCAATTACATTTTTATCTTTTGATTAATGTCATTTATTTGACCATATGAGGGCCTATTCAGGGTGTGTATTTCTCATTATTATCGCCCCAGTGAGACGCTCTTGCCGCATTCACGTGGCCGAGCAAGGCTGGCAAGCCAGCTCGTTGCACAACAGCAGGGAGCACGATGCTCGTGTTCGCTCGCACTAGCCTCCATCGTACCCGGTCCAACAGTGCAGAGGCACGAGCCAGGCAGAGGCATAGGGAGGGTGCGTTCCCAACACCTCTCGTACGCACCATCTTCAACTGGGCGTTAATGAGAAGTGGACTTAGGTGCATCGCTCGCGTGCTGCTGCCAGTAAGGGTGTGCAGGTTACATAGACGTTTGCTTGTTCGCGATGTTGAGGCGTGTTTCCACTTCCCTTGGTTCATATGATTTCCAGAGGCTCTCAGATGCTGCCGAGTATTGCTAATGTGTGCTGTGAGATGTGACTGGAAACGTCATTTGCACCACCTTCCCTTGGATAATTAATTAGTCTATATGTTGAACGTCTTTCGCACGGTACGTAGCCAACCGTGCTAATCGGAGGTGCGTAAATCGGAGGTGCAGTCTAGTTTAATCTAGGAGAGACATTTTCCACCCTTCATTACCCCGAGATTATTCACAGTATGTTTGGTGTTGATTAAACATCTCTCTCCATAAAATATCTTCACCAGACAGACGGTGGCTGATGAGGGTGATGCTGCTGCTGATGTCTCTCACCTTCCTTGACGTTCTCTGGCACCACCCAGACGTGCTTGTCACGGTCGCTCCGGCAGTGCTCGTGCTGGAAGCCGAGCGCGTGCATCAACTCGTGCAGAACCGTGCCCTTGGTCACCTTGCCGGGCTCCAGGGACAGCGGCTGCTCCCCCCCCTGCTTCCCCAGCAGTGACCAGTTCTTGCTGAGAGGTCTGGAGGAAACGAGGCATGAGATGTTTCATCATAGATAACAAATGTTATCTTATCCAAAGTAAACCATGAATCTCATTGGTATAACAATCTCATGTGACCTGTCATGTAATGGCTGTTTTTGGCTAAGGAGGTGTTGAAACATCTTCGATTTATTTTCTCTGCCAAGGCCTTATTTAAAACCTGAGCAATTGCTACTGTTGTACAAAGCACACGTTCTGCACAAGTTGGAGTATTGTTGTCATATCTGGGGTGCAGCACTCAGTTATTGCCTTGCTGCTCTTGGACACATTCAACATAAAGCTGTCAGGGTGACTGATAATCTAGAACTCACTCATTCACTCATTCATCCACTCACTGGTGGTTAGTCACCTCCTTATCATTCTTCTATCACCACGATGACCAATCTCGTGAACTTTACCTATTGATTCCTCCACCCATGTTTAGACGGTTTGGTCTCAGCCACGCCGAGTTCACCCACCGCACTGCAGCTCACCACGCTTCTCTTCCTGAATCTACCCTCACGCTGATCCTCTTTGGATGTTGCTCCCACAGTCACTTTCCCCAGCTCTTACAACCATGCTCAATTCAACAAACGTGTGAACGCTTTCTGTTACCACTTTGAGAGTGCCGTTTGTTGCTGGCTGCTTGGCGTTTTGGGCCTGTGCTCAACAACTGTGTTAAACAATAACATATTGAAGTTCCCATTATCTTCATTACCTCACCGTGCTACCACCCATCAGAGTCCCAGCACAGGGCAGTGATTGGCCATGGCAAACAGAGAAAATGAATTGGCTCCAATAAACCAAACGAGTCAAGTAAGGGGACACGGTGCACCAACAACGATCACAGCGATGAAACACACAACGCAAGGAGAGTTTGGGAAGGGAATTGTGCCATGAAGAACAAAATGATGTTTATGAATGGGGAGGTCTTCATTCAGTGCATGCCACTGGGCACAAACACATTCACAAATGCTACCGAACACAACCATTCACAAATGCTACTGCAACATAAACACAGCATGGCACAGAGGAGAGTGGAATTAAGCGCACCATACTGAAAGCTCAAAACATCAGTGCAGGCGTTGTCTCGTTTACACGAGTACCACGAGAAAGTGAGTGAATGTTGGAAGTTAATGATGGGAGTGAATGCTCGGTGCGAATGTTGGGAGTGAATGCTGGGGGTGAATGCTTGGAGTGAATTATTGATGTGAATCTGGGGTGTGAATCCCTCACCCGCCCAAATTCTGGATGTGAATGAAGTCCGTTTCGCCTGCGTGGGGTTTGAACCGGACGCAGGTTTTCTTCTCAAACTCTTGTGTCGCCCGCGTGATCGCCTCCACGTCATAGTCGTCTGACAAACGCAGAACGTCCAAGTATATTTATTACTGGCACACGAGTGATTTGTACACTGACACAGTGTCACTAATCCCGCATTAGAATCCACTCATATGCAGGGCTGTACCCTTAGAGCCCCACTCTGACACGAAGGGACTCGAGCAAGAAGCAACAGCTCACTCTCTTGGCTTTGACATCGCCATGAAGAGTCTGGAGGTGGCTCCGTGGCTCAGGGGTGATGTCTCTTTACAGACACTGAGCCAGCACCACTGAGATGCTGGGATCCACACCGGGTTTCAGCCACCCTGATAAAACTGGGCTCTCAAGCGTAGTGAGCTCATGGTCTCTGCCTGATCACCAATGACTGTCATCAAATCGCATCACATTGTATTGGGGATTGACCTACACGGGCATACATGGGTATATAACCGCAGTGATGAATGCAGGCACCCCTGTGATGTCATGAGATGGACAGGACAGGAGCGAGTGCCGTGCATTGTGGGGTGCAGGAGGCTGGCTGAAGGGGCTCCGTGCCACGCCACTACATGCCACGCCGTGCAGCGCCACGCTGCATTGTGCCGCTCTCTACGACCGCTCCACACGGTCGCGTTGTCTATCAACGCCACATGCCAATGGCCCCTCCACTATGCTCCTGGGATCTACACAGCCGGGTGGCCCTGTGGTCTAAGCGCATTGCACGCAATAAGAAGCTTGGCTCTCAACCACAATCTGGTTGAGGATCAACTCAGCCCATTATCCCTCTTGGGTTGATAAAATAAGATGTGTCAACACTGGAGGGAATGTGGAATTTCCACCACTGCTCATTTCAGCAGCGATGCACCACTGGTCCTTCAAAGAGAAGGTGCTCTCATTGACTTAGAATGACAGGGAGTCCTGCCTGCCCGACTGCTTGAGACCCAGCCCTGCCCCTGACCATGCCGGTGTCTTTGTGTAATGCGAGCAAGGATTGAGGGGGGCGGAGTCTGGGTCACGTGAGGAGAGGGAGGAGTTAGCGTCACGTGGGGGAGAGGATTTAGGGAGAGAACCGGAAGGGATCGGGGAGGTGAGACGGAGTGGAAAAGGGAGGAGGCCACGCTGGGCAGTACTGGGAGAGTGGCGCGATCGCCACGAGTTGGGAGACCACGGCACCGTCGGCCATCGGTGTCCGAGGCAGAGAGGGGCTAGCCGAGTGTGTGAGGCTAGCCGGGGCCGAGGAAGAGCGGAGCAGCGGTGTAGCTGCAGAGCGGAGCAGCGGGGTGGCTGCAGAGCGGAGCAGCGGTGTGGCTGCAGGGCGGAGCAGCAGTGTGGCTGCAGAGCGGAGCAGCGGTGTGGCTGCAGAGCGGAGCAGCGGTGTGGCTGCGGGGTGCTCGACGGAGGAGATGCGGGCCTGAGCGAGGACGCCGTGGGAGCGAGATTTACACGAACCCAAATAAAGGACAACGGAAATCGACACTGTGAAAGAGTCCTTTATTACATTTGTAAAGCGCATCACAGGGAGCGCACTTCAGGATGGGGTTTATGTGCCACTGTAATGCGCACAGTCGCTGCACGTGACTGTACGGGGCTGGTTCTCCAGACACGTGACCTCCACTGAGTAACTCATAATTGCGTCATTGCCAATCACGTGACCGAAGCCGAGTTAAACTCTCCTGGTACACGGCTGGCAGGGTGAGAATCGGCACGGTTACAATGGGCATCGCGGTCTAGCGGAACTCTGGTGAGGCTGGCCATGGTGCGGAGTGGTCGTGTCTCTCTCTGGCGGGGGAGCCGTGAGTGGTCGTATGATGTCATGAGATGGATTTACACACGAGGCACGGGACACACGGCCGCCTCACTCGTGCCTCGCTCGCTCTTCACGAGCGCCTCACAACTCGCTCGCATCTCGCTGGCGTATCACTCACACTTCACTGGTGCCTCAAAAGCATCTCGCTCGCACGTTACTCAGTCCTCACTAGCACCACGCTCACACCTCACATGCATCTTAATAACACCTCACTGGCGAATTAATAATGCCTTACAAACACCTTACT